TAAGAATTGAAAAATACCAACGGATTTATATTATATGTTACATAAATAAGTAAAGTACGACAAGTCGCTTAAATGAACAAGCCATTATCTTGTTTTTTCATCGAAAGAAAAAGTTAGGTGCACCGCATTCCATCGTCAAGTTCGAATTTCAAAAACCTTTTCCACGCTAACGTGCAAATAACGCTTTTGCGCGGAGATTTCTAAAGAGAAAGAAAGCCTTTCCGAGCTAGTGAGGTGAAAATACACATTTACTATACAGTTATCATTTACAATATTTATTTCAAACATGATAGATCGCCTGGCCTTGCAGGCAAGAACTAAACGGGTGATTACCTCGGATTTTTGTCATTCATAACCTTTAGTATAAAGTTTGTGTTTCACTGTAGTTTGTTACTTGTTACTTGTAAATGGCAAATTTTGAATATCAACTGGAATCTTATTATAGTAGCTTATACATAATGCTCCTTAAATGAATTAATGACTCCACAATTCTACCCCAAGACATAACACAGTAGGTAATCAGTGATTACGAGCATTTGGTTAATACACATTTCCTAAGATTTTGCCATCTATTTTAGGTAAACAGTCTTGCTATGTCTGAGGTGTTTAAAAACGAAGATGACTTTACGAATTCATAGCGACGAATTTTATACATGTGGGTAGAAGGAGAGAATTTTTTATTTTATTTGATTATTTATTGCACAGGAAACCACAAATCACATTTAGTATAACGAAAAACACAAACAAAAGGTACTGCTTATTTCTAAAAGAAATTTCTTTCTGCAGACCAAAATACAGTATACTGTATACAGTATACTGATCATAAAATAGCGTATGATTCGTATTTTGTCAATAGTTTTGTAGCTGCAGGCAGCAATTGACGTAAATAAAGCATGTGTAGGCTGTTATACGTCGTGGTTTAAACAAGAAGAATAGGTTCCGAATACAGAAAGGTAATATATTTCGCCTTAGCTATATTGAACATTAAGCGATTTACTGCAAGTCAGTGACTGAAGACTTTAAATCCTTCTTACGCAAGAGTCTTCTCCCCAAGAGTCACGGAATGTATTAATCATCCGCATATGTAATTATATTACAATTGGGTAATTGGAATTGACAAGTTGGACGAGCTGATTTCGATTGAGGTAGATAGATTAGATAGATTTTACTTAGTAATGCACGGAACCTTATCCTTATTGCGTAGTTCAATTATAATAATTACTTCATATAAACACAAAAAAGACACAACTGATTATGATTGTGCTCTTTAGTTTTATTGTTATTCAACTATTTAAAGTTATATTTAAGTTAATTATGTATTTATATGCAATTATAATATTTTTGTAATTTTTCTAGTAAGTTAAAAAAGAAAGTTAAGTTTTTTTAAACGGCTAATTAAAATACAAGGAAAGTTTCTCTACAAAACATGCGTTATGTATATTTAACATAAATAAACTACTTAATATCAAAAATATATTTTAATTATTCTTTTTATCAGAAAAGCCCAAATTTTTTTAACTCGTGTCTAAATATTTAATTTTGTTCTTGTGCCTTTCTTTCGAGTGCATTATATGTAGTATGGTGGAGTTGGTACGCACTGTCAAGCAGTGGAATTTGCCTATTTGGGTCATGTACTGTGACATGACAAATATCATTTATTGCTTACTATCCTGATGGCAAAGTAGCTGGGAAGCGGAAGGCTGAAAGAAGGAAAATGTCATGGCTTCGTAAAAGGGAGTGGACCGACATCAAGACAAGACATAGAAAGATATAGAAAACTGACTGCCGACTTTCGATAATGGAGAGGCACTTGAAGAAGAAGATAGTATGCCGAGGTCGTAGAAAATCGACATAATCCATATTCTTTACTCATACCCCCTCTAAAACAGGTGTTGTGATATATGAACGTTTATTACACTGAGAAATTAAATTTCAACAACTTTCTTTTCCAATTTTTTCGTTATTTTAATTTATACTGTATTTTTAGTATTATGATTATGACTCTTAAATGTATTAGTGCAGTAAATATATTTATGTCATAGGACTAGTTAAGAGAATTCTTTAAAGAACATGCTGCTGTTAATTGAGTTCTGATAATTAATTGCTGTCTCCGATGCTAATTAAAAGTGAAAATGTACGCTTTTGAAATGTTACGCCTGAATATATATTAAATATAAACACTAATAGAGATTCTGTCAGTGAACAGGTTATTTTGAATACCCTTTGAGTTTATACAACAGGGACCATTATAATTTATTTACTACTTTATGAATATTGAAATATTCTAATGATTTCAACATTCCAAGAAGGAAAGTACAACAAAAGCATTCGATCCATTAGGCCTATTCCTTGAATAAAAACCCGTGGTGTGACTCATGCCGATAAAGTAAATATACTATGTATGTAATGTGTGAAATGCCAAAATACTGTTTTTGCCTGTCATTTTTTTATGATATTAATTGACAGGACGAACTGCTTGTTCGCCCAGTGTTAGGCAACACGCCTGCTATAGCAGTTGTAGTGCCACGCAGAGCTTGACATGGCAAAGATCCGAGGGGCACTGCCACTGTGCCTGTCACCCTGGAACACAAGTAGAAAAGTCCAATGTGCCTTTAATTTCACCAGCACCCTTACTCTTCAAAACTGTAATGCTCACATTACTGCTTGGCGGGCATAGTATGTAAGGTGGCAGTACTACCCTGGACGAACTTTTTCAGAATAAGAGCATTGTATGACAAAATTGATGAATGTAAGTGAAGTAAGAGACGTTTGTCAGAACGGACCTCAATGATAATCCAAGAGCGTGAGCATAAGTAAGTAGGTAAGTTTAAGTAATCTCTTCTGAGCTATTAGGACCGTAGTACGCTGCCTTGGCGTATTCTTGATTGGGTGCACTTTACGTCTTGAAAAAGACAATGGAGTTAAACCTTTTTGTAACATGTAGGTTATCCTTACGACGTTTCGATCATCGTAAAAGCTACGAAGCGAGTAATAATTTTACGATGTGATTGAGTAACGGAAAACAATTCAGAAGCTCTGAGTTCTTTATGGTGGTCTGAGAGGGAGGATCACTTAAAAAAATTGATTTTATTTGTTTGTAATTCATTGTAATGCATCTTTCAGTGATTTCCTACAATGTTGAATATTGTTTGCGAAGGAAATAATTGTAGTTTTTTTTAAATGATATCAAGTAACGGGTCGAATAAATTGTGTGCCTGGTAGTAAGCAACATGCTTATCTATTTTGCAGTGCAACAGTCGCGGTGCAACTCATGCAAATCGCAAAAGTCACACACAGACAAGACCGGTCGACAAGTCTCATGTGCTTATAATTTCACCAGCATCATTATCCCTCTAAACTGGAACGCAGTAATGTTTGGCGGCAGAAATAGGTATGGTCTCTACTGCTAGACATAGAGCTCTACTGCTATCAAAATTATTTTATTTTTATAGACTCAAAAAAGGAGGGGTTCTCAATTCTTTTGTATGTTTTTTTTGTATGCATGTTACGCGATAACTCTTAATTTGTGAACCGATTTTGTATTCAGTAGTGATCCAATTTAAATTTGAAGAAAATATTCCATATCTAAGGGTGGCAAACTAGGGGATGAATGACTTTTGAGGTCAGTTTTTTTAGTACTGTGTACTTAGATTATAATTAAATGAATTGCGATCATGGATATATAATAAGTACTAAAATAGTAAAAATTAAAAAATACACTCAGTACCAAAACTGGCGTCGACGAACTCTTTCACAAAGAGTTCTACTGCTCTACCTTGTCAAACTAATACACTGTAATATCAAAAACAGCATGTTGCATTGCTTTTTCCCAGTTTTTGTCGTTCTTGAAGTTAACAACTTAAACATACATTTAACTTACTTTGTACATCAGATATTATACAATTAGATATCCATTTTATTTGACTTTGCTGAATAAGTTATGTCTATGAAGAAACTAATATACGTGTTTTACCTTGATAATAGCCGAAAGATTATTGATGTTATTAAAATACTTTATTAGAACGTACAGTGTTTTGGTTTGACGCGATAGTGCTATTACCGTGCACATTAACAACGAATCTTTATGTTTTTGATCTGAAAAGATTTACATTTAGCTGAAAAAGTGGTAGAAACCTTACTTGCGAGGCAAAGATACATTTAAAGACAAAGACAGATTGTAAATTTTACATTATTATAGTTTTTAAAACAATTAATTGCAAAACTTCCTTAAATATATACAAACACAAATATATTCGAACCAATATATTTTGCTAACTTGCCCTCTGAATTAAGTGTATTTGGGGCCGTCGGCATTATTTCAAAATTGCTGCTAGGCTAACCATGTTTCAATGTTATAATGTTAACAGTATTAATAGATCTTAGTGAGAATTGATAACAAGTTTGCTCTACTCATATTTATTTTATATTATACAAATGAGAATACATTGTTCTGACTTCTGATACGTATCACCCATCACATATCTCTTACAAATATTTTACGATGTCTACGTCATTGACGTCTTTGGGTTTTTTAATTAGCGATAATATGAAAACATTATGGATGTTTTAAAAAAAAATAATTTCACCTGCTCATACTCAGGTAATAGGGTAATCTTTATTTTCTCTTGCCTTTTTAGCCTTTTTAATAATTAAAAAAGAAACTGCATAAAAATTATATCTCTACTTTCTTTTTTTATGGATTTGACAGGCACAAAATCCAATATGTATTGCTTAAGAATGGACTTGTCATGTGCCATAGTAGAAATATAGTACGAAATTATGAAAATCATACAATTTAGATGATGTACACATATATGTACACAATATACTTCTGTACTTAGTGGACGTCATATATAAAATCGAAAACGTAAATTTAAATTGAATTTTCTTTTTCTAATTGAATTATTATGCAAGTATATTGAGGCAATATTTACTATTCAAGCAAAATAAAAGTTGATAAAGCTATAAGAAAAAGTTTTTCATTAAAAAATAACACTTACCGGTAAAAATAAACTATTCGTGCCTTCACAAACTAATATCACAAAGAATACAAAGCAAATAGACCTCATGTTTGCTAGTATGCACGAAAAAAGTTCACGGCAAGAAATTTTTTACACCGAAAGTTCTACACAGTTCGGCGTTCGTACTTCGGGCGCTGCGGACGTCGGGATACTTGTGAATGGGGGAGTTTGCCCCTGCCGCCTTTATAGGGGTAGTAAACGTTACTGCGCACTCTCCGCCGCTCTCTTACTTTTCCATCCGAACTTCTCACTTCCGTTACTCTTTTTCTATCGGTCGCCTTGCTTACTAATTGCCACTTAGCCCTTTGCAAAGTTTGTTCAAGTAATTAGCACGCTGAATAAACTGATCGATGCGCTCAAAATTCGAACGTAAATTTAAAAAGCAATATCCTTCTTTACTTATTTTTTTTAGTTTCATCTGATCATGTTTCACCGGCCTGTTATATCACTGTAAACGTATAAATAACTTATTATACGTATTGTACTATAGACGTATTTTCCGTTTTTTTAACTTGATAATAAGGCTTCTTGATAGTAATAGTTACTGTATACTGTATATTTGTAGCACGACCGAAATTACTGTTATCTGATAATAATTATTTACTTAACAAATATTTTGTACGTCATGTGTTGATGAAGAAGTATCTAATGGAGTAAATTAATTTTACGCTATCTAGTGTTTAAATTATTATGTGTTTTGTTTTGACGCTATGGTGATGAAGGGCGTTATACATTGTAATCATGTACTTATTTATAAGAGAACCTCACTTTCCAAAATTTGGTACAAAATATTCAACTTTGATGTAACCCGTTGAGAGGACGCTTGTCTCCTTCAAGGCGCTCGATTCCCACCCGGGCTTATAATCACGTCGTGGTTAGCTAGTAAGTGGCAGTTGACAGCTTTTAGGACAAAAATACCTGTCTACACTCTTTTGCACTCGACAACTATCTTTTCACTTCAGCTTCTTGCAGCGCTTCCATTACCGCTTACTTTTTCCCGACACAACACACTCACTATACTCGTACAAGTACACATGTCTTAACCCGAGGTTGAGCCGTTACTGATTTTGTTCCTGTAAACACTAAACACCGGATTCCAATCACAGGACAATATAAACTCATCTTTACGATTTATCGTTGGGCTTTTAATGTTCTAAGGGCAGTTTATGTGTCCCTTTCTTCGCATGAAATTAATAAGACAAGCTTAACGTAAGTCACAAACTCCACCACCAAAAATAAACCCGACAAGAGTTTCTCTTCTTCAAAAGGCATCCTCAAGAGTTGATGGATGTTCGATGGTTGGCTTCATCTAATAAATATTCAACACAAGCGTAACTATTTTGCACGATTCAATTTTCACTGGCTCCTGTAGTATCAAACTACTTTATTCTTTTCTATTTTGTTGAAAGGAATAACAACAATTTTTGAATTTCTCTTTTATTCTATTTACTATAATAATAACGTGGCAGACGATTGCTCTAATTACCTGGTCTCAAGAATAACGAAATTTACTCCGAGGGCAACAACCAGAACACCCAGATCAAAAACAATTTAGAAAAGATTGATGCCTAAATTGGTCCTATTGGGTATCCCACCAGGGACTAAATCCGAGGTCGTCTAACTTCTCTAATGACGTGTTTGTACGTTGTGTAAATCCACCTATTACAAAACCGCTGTTTGCCTTTGCACTGAGCTTCTTCTTAGTGTATCTGCATGTTCCAGAAAAAGTCTTAAAGCATCTGTTCTTGTGGTAGATGGTGTTTGTTGAATAACACAACTCATAAGCTCTGTCAGTTAATGACCTGACAACTGAATCTTGGTGACGTAGTGACGATATGAGATGTCGTACAAATATTTGTTAGAGTGAGTTTTTTTTATAATTTATAAAACTAAGCGGGCATTAACTATTCCGTGGAATCCCGACTGTCGTGCACTGTTAGCGTTTCGTATTCTTTTTTTGATATTTTTGCTACGTTATTGTTTCCGTATGACTTTTGATGTTTTCGTGATTGTCAGTGAATGTGTGTTGAACCATATTTTGCTATTGCGTTTTTCTCAAATTTGTAGCCTTCTTCACTTCATTCTGATAACAAAATCTTGGTGACGCGGGTGATGGTATGACGTGTCGTGCAAATATTTGTCAGGGTGAAATGTCTTGTCCAACCTTTCAATAATCGAATTATCAAGCTTTGGTACGATGAAATCGTATAATGATCATACGTCAAAAGTGCTTTTATCACATTTAATGTGTAAATTTAATGTGTAAAATTTTATTTTTATCACTTTAAGTGATAAAAATAATATGAACTACATGAATCAAATTATATATGAAATTTTATAACTACCATATTCACGCATAAAAAAATTATCGACTAATATCATTCATAGAATCTTGAAACCTCTCCTGAAAAGTTGTCATTTTGCAGACGTTGCATTATTACACCTGTATCATCAAGAGGTATCACAGAGGTATTCAAAGATGTAACATGTTTTTTACTTCATTAAACATTTAAAAGGACGCCTTCACTGCAAAGATACTGTGCGCCAATTTAACATTCACGAGTCTGGCGAAGTTTTGAATTATATACTAAGAGGTGATGTAATTATCTATACAGGGTTATATGTAAAATGCTAACAATCTCCCAGGACTATATTATTCCTAACATCATAAACAACAACTTTTCTTCCATGACTTTTAATAATTTATCATATATTTTACTTTTGTGTAAAAATAAAAATTCTTAAATAGATCGCTCTAAACGCTGATAACTCTGTGCAAAGGAAGCACTAGTATAAGAACCAGTTCGATGCAAAACGCAGGTCTCGAATAGGGGTTGGGCAGGACGCTTTCTCGTTCGAACTTATGGAAGAATGAATTTACCACCTTACTACCAAATAAATAATAAATGCAGGTGAAATTATAGGGACATGGGACTTGTCAACTTATGTCTCAGGGTAACAAGCGAAGTGGCAGTGCCCCTCAGATTTTGCGATTTAAAGCTCTAAAAAAACTATTAAGAACAGGCGTATAGCTTACAATCAGGCGCACGACTTGTTCGTCCCGTCACTAGATATTATTTAAAAAAAGTACAGATCTAAAAGTTGTGAAATAGTACACCAAAAACTTATATGTTTATTTTTGATAAATTTATCATGTTTTGTAAAATGTCATGGAACAAAAGTTGTTATTTACTATGTTAGTAATATAGTCTTGCGCAGTTGTTAGTATAAACAGTAACCCTGTATATCTGGTTTATTAACACATTTTTTCACTCTGTGTAATCATAAGAGGGAAGAAGTCTCCGCTGAAGAGCTCATAAATTCAAATCTCTTTATTTCGTATTCCAGCAAACACTTGAAATCGTGGAAATGGCTAAACACTGCTACTTTATAGTAAGGCAAATCTCCGCAGGACGAATGAGTGACTTTAGAATTTTGTAGAACTTTTTGTTTTTCAATAGGCATTGGTAAACATATCGTATGAAGAAACAAAATAAAGAGCTAAACGAATCATTCTCATGGATTTTTAACGATCGCGATAGCCCAACGGATAGCACTATAAGCGTTTGCTGAGGAGGTCTCGGTATCAATGCCCAGTAGAACCAATTTGGGTAACGAACGTGTCAAAATTTGTCTGATCTTGTATTTATGGCTATTTTTTGTGTAATTTTCCAATTCCAATTTTCAAATAGTGGAAATTTTTCCGGGAAAAATCCCGAAAAATTAAAAAAAATTTAAAGATTGGGAAAATTATAATTTCAAAGGCTCATATTATGTTCTACGTTTACAAATTTAGCGTGGATTATAAAATAAACTTTTATAGCTAAAAGCCACTTAGAGAATAACGAGATTTAAAATGATTTCACTACAGCGAAAATAAACCTGGAACAACCACACCACCACCACATGTTGTTGGCTCCATCGTTTTCATTTAGTAACTTCAACTTTTGACAGGTGTCAACGTCAAATGTGGAAAATTAAAGGAAAAATATTCGAAAAATATCCGGAAAAAGACATGAAATATAAAAAATATGATTTTCTGGAAATTTTTCCATGACCCTACACTAGGCTAGTGCAACCGAGTTAGCTTCGTTGCTCTAGTACTTATAGTATTAGGAAATTGTTAGTTTGAGGTTGTCTGGCATATTTTATCCATTAAAGGTTTTGTATCACATTAGTGTTATCCAAACTAATATCATAAATGCGAAAGTAAGTCTGTCCGTTACGTTTGCACGCCTAAACCGCTGAACAAATATTGATGAATTAGTATGGTATAGAGATAGATGGGACCTAGGAGAAGGACATAGGGTACTTTTTGTCACAAAAACAAATCTCAAAGGGGGTAAAATAGGGGATGAAAGTTTGTATGTAGAAACAATAAAAGTATGAAAATTAGTATAGTACAGAGGCTATTCAAAGCACATACTCTAAGCACACGAAGTAGCGGGCAACAGATAAGACGTGATAAATTACAATATTTTCAATGTATACAAGGATCTTATCATTTATGTAAGACAGCCTTTTGAACTATTTACAAGTATAATGCCAGGTAAAGAACAAATTCATAATGGTCGAGGGGCGTTTAACCAGAATTAGCAGCTCCAAACCTTAAAGCATTGTTGCATTAACGGTGTATTTTAATGAAGCCGAAATTTGCTTCAGAATTCAATAAATTTTAAATTTGCCTTATGAATGCTTACAGAGTGGAGTCTCTATAGGCTCAATTTACATTGCCGTGAAGCGGAATGAAGAGATTTTTCTTTTGGAACGAAATTGTATATAGCTTAATCAGCTATGTAACATACAAATTACATACGAGCCTTGAGAATTCCTTCTTAGTAGCAGTAGAGCTCCTTCAGAAAGAGTTTGTAGCATGGAAGTACGGTCACCTTGCCAATTTTAATGTGAGATTATCGCTTTCCGGTTTTAAGGGTAAATCCGATTCGTATTTGTTCCGCATCCGAGACTATACAAATCTAGAAAACTCAGCCCACTTCGGATGTCGCTTGTGCGCTAAATCCGGTTCGAATCCGAGAAAATACGGACATCGCTTCTAGACCTAGAGATAAAATGATCCCTGTGACAATTCGGACCGGATCGTCATTTCTCGTATACGGAACTGATACGAATAGGACGTAGTGCGCAAACGCTCTAAGGGTGTTGGTGAAATTACAGGCACATGAGACTTGTCAACTTATGTCTCAGGGTGACGAGCCTCGCGGAAATGCCCCTCAGATCTTTGCAATGTAAAGCTCTGAGTGGTGCTGCAACTTTTATGGATAGGCGTGTCGCTTACCGCCAAGGCAGGCGCACGACTTGTTCGTCCCATCATTTGGTATTTGGCCTGTGCCGACCTGTTTTTTGGCTCGCATCTAGTTTGTAGTTACAAAATTAACGTTGATTATGGTATGTATTATTTCATTGTGGGGATACACGTTCATCGTCTGCATGTGGCTCAAGATGGTGTAACGTGCACCCACGCGCGCCTCTCAGTAGGCCATGAATGCAGGAGTTGCTCCTCTCCTCACCTCTCCTCACCAGTCGCGGTGCAGTCACGATTAGTGAGGTGTAGGTGTTAATTTTTCAAAATAAGCGCGATGGATGGAAATCCAATTGAAAAATTTATAGAGTATGTAAAACAACACCCTGCAATATGGTATAGCAGTTCCGCCAGTTATTCCGATCGACTGGATAAAAAAATGCATGGGAAAATTGATGTCTAAAATTTATTGATAATTTTAAAACTAAAACTACATCGGAAATGAAACTATTTTTCCGGATTTAAATCGTGTATATTTATTTTTTTCAAACAAACCGACGTTTCGGGCCGACAACTGAAAAAAACATAGCAGGTGAGTAATTTTTAATACCTACCTATATGTGAAATGTGTGCCCCAAGAACTAGGTAAAAGTAATGTTTCTTCGTCAGAATCCATCGAAAGAACGTCGGAAGACATTTTAGGCAGCGCGACAGTTGCGCGGCTGCACCCCTTTTAACAGCGGCTAATTTGAACGACCTCTAATTATGAACCGATATATGTACGTTCAACAAAAGTAAACTTTTATGAAGGATCATATTACTATTCTTGTCAGGTTTAAAAAAAAATAAAATTCTAAGCACATAAAGTCTAACTTTCAATCCAAAAATACGAACTGTGATTTACATAAATTTACAATACATCACAAACAAATTTGCCACATAATGTTACGTATTGCTCTTTGTACGGACAACGGCACACCAGACTACACATTTTTGTTCGAAAATCGCCTCTAGCGCAACGGAACAAGATACGTCAATGTGTAGCTTGATGTGTTGGCGTGTGTACTTGCTTTATACTTAAAAATTGAAAAAAAAACGAAATTAACCCCAAGCCCGAGTAGCAGATATTACCTGGAAAGTTTTGTTTGAAACTAGCTACGCACCACACAGGAAGTTTCAAAGTTCTAGTTTGTTTCTAAGCAGCGCAAGTCCAGGTATATTAGATCTAAGACATCCATTACAACTTCCAACTACGTCATTATCTAGGTAATTAAATTCCAATAAGCTGTTAAATGAGACTTATGTTAACGCTCCACTTGTACATATCTATAAACATAATATATACTTTTATTTATGATTTGATATAAAATAGGAATTTGTCTTTTCACGAAAAAGCATGAAGCAATGCGTTGTATGAATACATACATTTACCTGAATATCAAAGTGCCGTAAACAAGCCACGGTAGCCTAATGGTTTGATTTACTGCCGCTCAAGCAGAGGGCAGTAGGTTCGAATCCGGGCTCCCTCCTCTGAATTTTCAAAATTCCTATGCAAATTTTTATTTGGAATATTCACGTGAGAAATCGCCGAACCGCATTGGGCCAGCGTGCAAGCAGCTAGGGATAATATCTTACCGCCGTTCCATCATCCGCCACCTATGAACCCCGGTAGTAGCTCATAGCTCAGCTCTACCGTCTGACGTCGGTACTGGCGTCTGACGCATCCTAGGCAACAATCGGCGAATACCTTACGCCAATTGGCACATCCTTTCACTACGATGGCAAACATTATAGGGTATGTATGCCATCGATATGATAAGAAGAATAAGACAAACATATTAACATCTATTTAAATTAAAATTGAGATATATTATTTATTTATTTTTATCATTAACGAATTCGTAAATACCTACTAAAATAAGTCTTGGTTACAAGTAATTGTTTCAATTGATTTATAAAAGCGGTGCTGTTTTTATAGTGTTAAGTTGGTTACGTATTTCATTATGAATTTTGATTACTATGGAATGTGAAGCGAATTTTCCAAGTACATAACGAAATTAAATCTCTTACGTAAGATTTTGACGTAAGTAGATGCCTTGGCAATTCTTCCGTTGTCCTACTTTGTTTCTGGGGCGTCATGATATTTTACTATCTGGCAGACATGATGTCGACATGTGTCAAGAGGCGGTTTTAATTCATTTTAGAATTGTATAAATTTCCTTAGCAACAGTGCAAGGTTTTTGATATTTAATATAAGATAAGTGACAGCTATCAGTCTATAACAAGACAGTATAGCTGCATCTATTTCAACGACATGCCGGCCCAACAGTTGGCTCTATAGACGTTGGAGAAGGACGTCCGGGTTCGATTCCCGGTAGGACCAATTTGCGAAATAAACTGCTTTTAAATTTATTTATTAACCGACTTGAAAAATAAGGAGGAGGTTCTCAATTCGACTGTTTTTTTTTTCTACTCAGGTTACAAAGACGGTTAAGTACATACCTTATAGCCTAACACGCATAATAATATAATAAAACATTATTTATATACACGTACGGGCTAAGACGTGTGACGCAACGACGGGTGTCCGGTAACCAGGCTTCGAAACGCTCGGACACCCTTCGCCCAAAACTCCTCCGTCGTGAAAGTTGACAGATGTTGGGTTGATACTCTCACAACAAATGAATTGAAATTCGCGTTGTAGCATAACCCAACCGCTCGACGCCCAGGGTAGCATAAAGATTCACTCGTATATATACTCTACTATATTTGCAGACTTTGTGGAGTAATGAAGCCGTGGTACGTATACCAAGGCGGTTCGTACAGCTGGACGCAATAGATGATTATGGCCAATCGGGGCAGTGCCATTTTCCTAAATTCAATGTGGTCTGAGTGTTCTGAGTAGTGTTAGGGGTGAATTCCTTTGCTCTGGTACTTATGGTATAGAAAACTCTCGACTTTGAAATATATACGGTTCAGTTTGCTTAATTCGAGCAGCAGGAACACTGGCTTTATTTCAGAATTTATTTTTTTACAAACGGACCTAAAACCATTTGAAAAATGTATGTCGTATAATATAAGTGTTCTATTTAAGTCGGTGGATATAACAAAATTCATTGGTACCTATTGAATATAGCGGTTTTCTTATAAAATTTCGAAGTAACTTTGTGTTTTTTTTTTCTGTAATGAAAATTTTTAGAAGTCGTATTTTCACACTAAATACTAATCAGTGCATATCCTGAACTTCAAAATATATTTTTTCCAAAGTAAATGTTTCAACATTGTCATGCAGAATCCACCAAAGCCATTCGAGGATGTATATACTCTTAATATAAGTAAACATTTCACGCCTAAAGAGCCCTTAATGGAAAAATATGTTTTGTATCAAGACCATTAAGTATCACATAATAATAAACGTTCCAATCAACTACTTAATAAAATAGACTTAAGGTAATAAAACATACAATAACACTTTTAATGTGCAACTTTGCAGTGAAAGTAGCTTAGAAGTAAATAGACAGATTTATTGCTGTTTTGTTTCGTAATAATTTTATTTTATGAAGCCGCAATTAGGTGGATTTATCTTTTACACCTGCATTTCCTCGAGAGAAGTTTAATAATAAAATTTTAGTTTAATTATAATTGTTACAATAAAATATAAAACTTTCATGAAAACTGCAAAGCATCGCTTACTAGTACGAACTGGATTGAAGCAAGTTTGTGATTTGCAAAACTATTTAAAAGTTTCAGAATCCACTAACACCTATAATGAATAAACACCATGCCCACTGTTTAAGTTTGATGACAGAAGATCATTGATCAGAGATATTTCGAGTTCTTAGGTTGTCGCGATTGCTACACTTAGGAAATGAAACTATTTTTCCGGATTTAAATCGCGTATATTTGTTTTTTCAAACAAACCGACGTTTCGGGCCCTTTACAGGTCCCATGGTCACGGATGTCCGATTTAAATCCGGAAAAATAGTTTCATTTCCTATGATTTTTATATTTTTAAGCAAGGCAGTAGCTTATTAATACTCTACTTACTGTAACCCACTACACGCGCTCACGTATTAGACCTTCTTCTCAGCTCATATGGGTGACAAATATTTCAAGTTACGTTTACGTTTGAAAGATGAGATATTAAGTCCATAAGCGTGTCGCCACAGAGCAGAAAATAGCATTGGCCTATGGTAAATTTGTGATCAATAAAATACAACTACACAATCAATATATATTTAATTCAGTCGAGTACATTAACAAATATTCATTTTACACTAATACAAATAATTACCATAAAATACATGTCTATTAGGATATAGCACTTGAGCTATATAAGAAAAAATTCCAGTGACTACACTATACAGTGATTGAAACAAACGTATGACAACATCAAGCTGAAATGACAGGAGTGGGATTTTGAAAGCGAAACCCATTATACGGGAGATCAATCGCAAAATCCGCTTGTACTTCTCCAGGTCTCGTAGTCAGGTCGACTAAAGGAGTAGGAACATCTATAGCAGTGAATATTGGCGGAGAAGTATCTGGAGGACCAACGTATACTGGATAAAGTCTAGGTTCTGACCTCAATCTCACATTCCCAGCTGTAGATACTTCGAGAGAATTCTTTCCGTTATCCTTTGCAATATGTATTCTGTCAACTTTTATGTTACCAGTTTCCATGTTTGACCAAGTGGTAGCTGGCATCACTGGCGGAGGCGTGACAGGCATGAGATCTGGTGGTGGCCAAGAGTCACTGCTACGTTTCTCATAAGGATGATGTTCGTAAGGATATGAGTTGTAGAATCCGTAACTCACCGGACTTGCAGCAATCTGGAACAGAACGCCTATTAACCAATTATCTTGGTAGTTGGTTAGTTCGTGCTGTAAAGCCTTTTAGGTGCGAATTTTGATCTTAGTATCTTATAGGCACAGGAAGCTACGACGAGCCTGTCTCGAAGAGGTAATGTAATGTAAGGTGATTGATGAAATGATGAAGGAAATGATTACTTCGAGTATGGTCAGTGTTAATTAGAGCTTTCATTCCGGAAGTAACGGTCTCGAAAATTTTTGGCATGAACTTGAGATTGATATTTTCAGTCTCGGGAATATCGAGAGGTTTGAGACTTAAGTTACTTAATTAAAGAGTATTAAAAAAAATCTGCTAAACCACCAGACACTTTTTTATTCTGGTTATATGAACACTGAAGAGTCGAGCTTACTTTAATCTGTGGAGATTGAAGAACGATAGTAATAAATAAAAAGCCCTCTGTATCTGAAATTACAGTAAACGCTGTTTGTTTCTTTCGTGCCCACTATAAAAATAAAAAAACTTTTATAAATAATTTGTAATTTAAAATAACAAAAATGCAACGGAAAGGACGCACTCGCCGCAGCATGGTGGGCGCCAGTGTTACCAGATGGTTACATTCTTTACATTGTTCGTAACTTTTGACTTTCTCGCGTAATATGTAAGTAACTTTTGTTTTTAAGGTAATCTTAAAACATTTTAAATATATATGTATATACCTATGGATTCATTACTTTATTTTGGATTCGCTTTTTTATTTTGCTTTATTAATACTATTTACATTATTTTAAATTTAATATGATTGATCGATTCATTGTATTCAATTGTAATAGTAAATGTTAACGTTCTGTCTTCACCTGTAATTGCTATAGCATTCAGTTCTTTGTTTTGTAATGTTAAATATCTAATTGAATGTTATAATGTATATAGTGTCGGTGAACTGAATAAATAAATAATTTTCCTTACTTTTGAGAACGTTGAGATCTTTAAAATTCAAATAAGCTAAACAGTTTAGGAACGCACCCAAATTAGACAATAATTTGAGATGCCGTAAACAAAACCAAATCAATCAACTACGATTTTTCTTAAGCATATTATTATTATTATTATTATATATTATTTACTTTTTAAAATTTAAAGAATTCAGGTATATATACCGATATCAATTACAGTTAGAATTTTCAATTAAAAAAACTATTTTATAACATGTAACTTTTGCTGCAAAAATATCTTTTCAGGTAACGAAATATTATCGACTCTAGGCAACACCGGTAACACTGGTGCGCGAGGGAACGAAGAACTTGATTAAAATAATATTTTAACTGCCTGGAAGTCTAGTCTATAACTAAGGAAACCTACTTTTGAAATAGTCTCGAAACTCTCGTTTATCCCGGTGTTTTCAACACCGCCCCGAGTTTTGACTTTTTTGCGTGTTGAAAGTCCTAGTGTTAACACTTGCTCACTGAACAGTAACGTGTGCTAATGGGGTCTATACGATTGATTATGTTTTTTTAATATCATAATTAATGATGAAAGTTTGGAAGAAGTAAATAAGTTATTGCGTTGTTGAAATCATACCTTCCCCCTGTCATGATACCCATCATGATACCCAATGTCAACCTATAAGAGAATGTTAAATGTTTTATAGTTAGCATATAGTTAGTAGTACTTAAGTTATTTATTATGAAAAAAAATGTAATCATACACATACCGGCGACATTTAGCGGAACACTAGCAAAAGCCCCAAAATAACGCAATTTTTCAAAAGTTTTGCAAAAGTCTGACCGGTTATTTCTTTTAATATCAAATAATAAAAAGATTAAATCGGTCACTCGACAAGTAGTTCAAGATTGAATTTGCGTTCGTAAATTTCGCTGAAAAAGTTCTTCATTTTGATTTATTCAATAATAAACTTCTATAATGTTAATTTAAAGGTTACGAAGTTAAGTGACGTTAATTGCTATTTTATATCTAACTCTTCCCTTTATTCCCAATATTCTCCCTTTTTTCGTTCTGCTAAGTGTGCTGGTGAATTATACGTACTTAATATATACTCATTAGTGTTTTAATTAATTTAGTTTTGTTAATTACTATTTTGAAATATTAAGGGGAACTCTTCATTTTCTACAGTTCAGTAAATATATGTATTTATTAATAAAACATTCCTGTATTTACCTTCTTAAGTCCCTGTATAGAAGCCAGGATAAGCGCCATTTTAGCAAGCAATAGCGCTTTGCCTCCAAGAACAGCGAGGAACTGGAATCCCATTGGTATGACCACCATGCCGATGGAGACGACGCCGAACATCATCATTGTCATCATTTGGTGCCGACGACGACCGCGATACTCAACTGTTTTAATACAAACTATATTACTGGAATGTTCTTTGATATCATTCCTTTCCTAAAGATTTCTTACAGATTTACTCGATTCCTTGACAAATAATACGATAAGAATCGTTTATTTCTTTCATATTTTCTCGATTTTGTCTGACCACCAAAAATACGATTTCGATTGTCTGTTGTTTACAAAACTTGTTTTATTTGATCTTTTTTTTTTATAACGTCAAGTGACGGGACGAACAAGTCATGCGCCTGATGGTAAGCAACACGCCTGTCTATTACAGTTACAGTGCCACTCAGAGCTTTAAATTGCAAAGATCTGAGGGGCACTACCACTGCGCCCGTCACCCTTAGACATAAGTTGACAAGTCCCAAGTGCCTGTAATTTCACCAGCATCCTTGCCCTTCAAAACCGGAACACAGTAATGCTGCCATTACTGCTTGGCTGACATTACCATGGACGAACTCTTTCACAAGGAGCTCTACTGCTACCAAAAAAAAAAATTTGATCATTCACAGGTCAATCGTCAAATGTTGAGCAAATCTTAACCTTAAGATATGATTTCAAAATTAAAAAAAACATTAGACTTATTTGTTGGTTCGTAAACAGTTGATAGTGAAATTACAGTCTCAGAGTGACGGTCGCAGTGGCAGTGCCCCTCAGATCTTTGTAATTTAAAGCACTGAGTAGAACTGCAACTGTTATGGACAGGCGTGGCACTTACCACCAGGTGGGCGACTTGTTCGTCCCGTCACTTGGTCACATAAAAAAAAAGTTTGTTACAATTAAAGGTGATCTTATCTTAACGAATTATAAATGAGCACAGCTTGTAAATACAACCTAGATAAAACAAAGAGCTCGTGCCGTATGAAACTAAAATGAAAAAAGTGCAACTCAGGTTTACTAAAATTGTGCGAATTTATAAATTCTACACAAACCTTTTTCGATTGTTTTCGTGTCATCGAAGTCAAATTTTATAACATGTGTGCGCAGAACTTTTGCCATGCGCTGTAAAGCGAGGGTACGCCATTCTCCTTCTTCTAATTCTTTCTCTGTCCATGCACTAATGCCAATAAAAAAAATGCCAATATTAAAAAAAAAAACTGAATTGCTAAAGTCAGAAATTCGATGCACCAATGCTGCATCGTTTCCTCCAGGTATTGGTGAGGTAATGTGGCAGTCGGTTCCTCGAGTAACTTGTATATTTTGTGTCTTTGGTAAATTATGTACCTACTAACAATAGTTTCAAGTTTTAATTATTTTGTTTTTGTATTACTAACACGTGCACCCAAGACGTCTTATTAAAATATTTATTATTATTAAAAGTCAATAGTGCCACAATTTCTGTTCAATAGTTACTATCAACTTCTAAGTACTAAGGTCGTTTACACCATTTCTTAAGGAACAACTTTAATTATCAGATTTGAGCAAATTTTCATTTTCATTTCATTATCATTTTTTTTAGTTCATGGTGCGTTTCGCATAATTATACAGATAGCAAATCTCTAATATAGTATTTTGTCATCAAAGTACGAGTACACCTATAATAATTTTATTATTATTATTTTTTTTGTTATTTTTTTTTAAGGCTGGATGGTGCAGTGCTCGGCAGGTTCAACGAGCTGCACGCTACTCGTGCACCTCGGTGACTCTGCCGACAGCGGTGTACCCTTTAGCAAGTATTCTTATTATTATTATTATTGTAGTACCTACTAACACAGTTATTAAGGTTTTTCTGTTTACTAACAATCTATGGACCCTGTAATCTGAAAATAAAGATATTTTATTTTTATTTTTATTTATTGCACCAGATAAATACAACAGAAATATTATTTGTTTAGAAGGTGAGCAACGGTTTAAGTAGAGCAATAGAATATGTAGAAGCTACAATGATTTGACGAGTACTTGTGATGCGGATGTGTTTGCTGACCCTTTGTACTGACAAAGGGTCAGCAAACACATCCAACAACACACGTCAAGTTAGCTTGTGCTTAAATACTGATTTAAGCACAAGCTAACTTCACATTTTAAATAATAATAAAATTAACACTAGTAGTATTATAGAATATACTATTGCACGTGTATTTAAATGTGTATTAATCTATTGCTTTTCGCTGTTGTTTTTAATTTTCAATTTATGTAAATTTCATATTATCTAAGTATATATTTTTTGAAGCATTGTGTAACTATGTCAGCGATGTGAAATTGAATAAATATAGCGCTGTCTGTACGTCATGTTGTGTACGCGGTGATTGTCTTAGGTATCAGTCCTAGCCTCATGTCTAATTTTTGTTGATTGCCAAATACATAATTTATAATAATAATAAATAAATACATATTTTATAATAACATCAATATGCATACATATAATTATATACACATATAGGTACATTTAAAAGAGAGTTCAGCAAGAAATTGCGGAGTCAATCTTTTCTTGACGGCAGCAATCGATGCACCAATAGGGAAAATGGTATTTTTTTTTTAATTTCAGTTATGTTTCGACATATTGCTCGAATAAACGAAGGGTACATTTCAAATACAGGATATGCGAATATATATTGGAACCGTAGCACCTCTAAAATATCATCAAGAGAGCTTCGCATTTCTTTCTATTTTTGGGTCGAAAGGTAAACTAGTCAAAAGAACAAAAAAAAGCGAAAAATACAAGATTCTCGACTCCTGTTACTTATTCGCATACTTTGCATTTGTAACCCTGTATCCTTGAAATTCCAGTGCCCTTTCTTATGTTAAATTACACTCTCGGGCAAATAACGCAAACCAGTTTGCACATTTGTTCAAAGGGGTAAAATACAAAAATATTATTATCATCGAAATAAAGTTTTCTCTAGTTTTACATAATTCAAATTTTCAACAATAACAATTATGAAAATGAGTTTTAAAATATCAAAATAGCGCTTGATCCATTGACCTACCAAAAAATTTTCGTGGTTTTTGTACTAGACCCGTCTACCCGACATTTTTTTCGTGGTTTTTGTACTAGACCCGTCTAGTACAAAAACCACGAAAAAAATGTCCGAAGTTAACCTATACAAACGTAGTGACATGTAAGGAAATTAAAAAAAGTAAAACACTTAATTTAAATTGTAAGGTCATTGCAGTACTGCCTAATTTTGCTTGCAACAATTTAAGGGCCCAGAAACACCATATTGAGCTTCTACTGAAATTTAAACAAAATGCACCATATTTAGCTTCGACGGAAAATTACTTGAACACAAGAGTAATGGAGTAGCCTTTATCGTAAATATTAATTAATTTTTGTATATATTATTATGTCGAATTTTGTATAAATTTACTTAAAGAAATAATAAAGAGTTGGGCAGATACACATATATAAATATTACTACAAATATGAAAATAAGCGCGTACTATAAAAAATGTACCGATATTCCAATTAAACGTAAACTCAAATATCCGTAATTCAGAAAACGGATTTATAATAAAACTTTTACACTTTCGAGTAATTTTGGTGCTTTTCACATAGACAAAATTAGCTTTTGTTTTGTAACTTTTGTAAAAAAATACATATGACATTATGAAAATTCGAGCTAACGTTATTTCGAGCAAATGTATTTTCTGACTTCTGATAGGTAATCCCAAGCCGTAAAACGAATACAACAATATTTTGTTAGTTATTGCTAACGTTTAATATAAAATCATTTTAAAAATAAGATTAAAATCAAAGCGAATCTAGTTTCTTTGATCTGAATATTTCAATCGGTTGTGATTCGAACAATTGAAAATGACCAAGAAGTTTATATACGCTTCTTCAAATTGACGTAACGGGTCTCTTTCCATCTTTTACGCATGCAATGTGTAGAAAAAGGACAGTTAGCTATTTGATTATTTTGTGTGCTTTTGTAATTTATATTTACGATTCATTTATATATAAATTAAATATTATACAAACTGTACATAATAACACTTTTAAATGAGAACTATGATAATACAACATATTCGTTTAGTGAAAATATGATACAAAATCCTGTTTTTACACTTTACTGCAGTAATTTTTACAAGTTATTATTGTATTGTACTGCATAATTGACAACCGCGCTGTCGGTTGATTAAACGAAGTCTGTTGCGCGATTGACGCTCTGTATGCGATTTTAACGCCCTACAGGTGCGGACACTTTTTAGCGCGAACCCGACGTCCATTTATTGGTAGGTCAATGGTTTGATCAATCAAACATTCTATAAACTTGACGTTTTAATACTGAAAATGCAATGTGGCTAATATGTTAATAATGTTTTTTTATGATACTAATGGGACGAACAAATCGTGCGCCTCTGATGTTAAGCGACACACCTGTCCATAGCAATTGCCACTCAGAGCTTTAAATCACAAAGATCTGATGGATATTGATTAAAGATTGTTTAAAAACATCTGCAGAATAATTAAATGCAAAGCCGACCAATCGTTGTCGAGTCCATGTGGTTGTGTGATTATTTTAAGCATTAAAAAGGTGGGTGTTTATTTTTGCAATAAAATTTAGTTTATTCTGAGTGCAGCTGTGTAATAAAAATAAGACACTCATTCATTTTTTATGTACTATTTTGGTTTAGGCCACTATTCTAATTACTATTCTATTCACACACTATTCTAGTGATTGGCGATTGCACGCAGTTGTGACCACAGATATAGTTGTGACTATCTACTCTCCTTGCTTTTGTGACTTTATTTTTATTTTTTAATATTAGTGCATCTAATCCTTGTTGCTTATAAAATTTTCTTTCAACGTTTATGTTCTTTGTTGGTACTGAAGTTGGCTGTTTTTCATTGTTTATATAAAACTAGAACTATACTGGATTATGTAAGAAATTTATAAATGTACCTAAATTAAATGTAAACCTCTTTCTATCAATCATATTTTATAAACTTATTGTAATGTATTTAGTTATTGTAATATACGAAGTTATTGTTATTTTTAGGCAACACAATTGACGGACGTAAGACCTAGTTACCTAGTTTACCCATAGTACAGGGAATCGTAGTTTGGGAGTCAGGTACATCTCTGTACCTAATTTTCTGTGTTCTGCAATAAACATATTATTATTATTTTATTCTTGAAAAGCAGCGATGTTTATTCCGTGACGGAGCTTATCATAATATAGCCTTTCAATCCATTGTACGCCATCAAGCATAATAATACATTGTTACAAAATGGTTAGAAACTATTATTAAACACATTTAATAGATTTGTAGCCTTTTCAATAGATTCAACGTAGCTACGATGAGGCGACAGGCGCTGGTTCGAGTGAAGTCGGAATAAAAATACTTTTCTTTGCGATTGTACTATCTTTGTATTAATAATGACAATAATCTCAGGACAGAGTACTAAAAAACCAACCTCAAAAGTTTGTGTAATTACATGTATTCGCCAAGTTTTATTGAAATCGGTTACTGGAAAGTGCGCGAAACCGAATTCATCCCCTGGTTTGCACCATTAGAGTTGGAATATTTTCTTCATATTGAGGTACCCTCTTTCCAACAAAAAAGAATCACCGAAATCGGTTCGCAAATGTTATCGCGTAACATACATACGAAAAATACAGTCGAATTAAGAACATCGTCCTTTTTTTAAGTCGATTAAAACACTAGTATTAGTCTAGTATTTAAATTTTTATTGAATATAAGAATGTTTTACCATTATGATATTAAATTATTTTTTGTGACATTACTACCACTAGTTTGTTGTATTTATTAATACAAAGATTTAAAAAAAAATTCCGTCGCCCCTGCCGCATTCGAACCCACGTCTCCTAGCAAACCGTGTCAGGGTCTATGCCAAATAAGCACTAGTCTAATATTTTCGCAAAAAAATAGATTATATACACATAAATGGTAGTAAAAATTTCATGGTACTTAATAAAAATAAATATAAAACATCTCTGTCGGTCTTCCGGTAGCTGTAAAGTAACAGGCTGAATGATAAAAATTTCTTAAGTTCTCACAGGTGGCGCTACGACAAAAAAGCCGGCAAAAGCCCAATCACAACGAGCACCTTGTAATGGCCAGCTCCAGTTGGTTTGAGTGGGCATGAG